TATATATATATATATATATATATATATATATATATATATATATATATATATATATATATATATATATATATATATATATATATATATATACATATAAATGTCAAATAATGAATGGACAAACATATTAAACATGTATTATTGATTTACAGTATATAGTACTCCACAAGAAAAAATGTGTAAGACAATGTTGAAGGTGCTAGCAAAGCTTCAGTGCAGTCATCACGTGTCTCTGTGTGTGTGTGGCCTAAAGGAAGGATTACCACCATCTGATTTCTCCCCCTGAGAGTCTGATAATAACGGACCATTGTGCCTCTCTCACGCTTTGTCACCTGACAATTTGGGTCGAGTTAATTCGGTGTTGTCTCATTACATCGAGCACCAAAGGTGACAAAGGACATTTATGCCTCAGGGACACTCTAGAGACCTTTCCTGACCTGATTACAGTAGCAGACGTGATCGTTTTTTTTTCATCTGCAAAGTTTGCCATGTTCTACATCAAACCAACACTCAGATGGAAATATTTCTCCCGAACGCGAGCCGCTTCAAATCGAGAAAGGAAAAATCAAACTCTGTTTTGATGTCAGACGTGCAGTCAGATGTATTAACTCACGTTCTTGAAGCCTCTGTAGAGGATTTGAAGCTCTTTGCGTGAGAAACGCGTTTGAGCCTCCAGCTGCTCCAAAGCCTCGGGTCGATGCCGTACAGCTGACAGCTCCAGCTCATCCTCAATGCTATCTGTGGAGAAAACACAAGAGATCAGGGTTAAGATCCAAATTTGCATACTCTTCACACAGCGTTAACCTTTAAGATGATTGCTGAGTTTATGATTTAAGTAACTAGTGGACTGAATAGACATAAAACATCTTATTCAACAGGAAATTTTAGGCTAATGAAATGTTAATGAGTACCAAAAAACACAGTAATTTAATTACTTTGTTATGCCATTTGGTGTTACACTGTCTTTATGAGTTAGTAATTTAATTCATGGTTTCCACTACATTCATTCTTCCATGTCGGGGCGCCAAACCAAAATTCATCCCGCCACGGAGAGGTATGAAACACCCTGCTCAGACAGGCGGGGGGCGCTTCACGGGGGTTTTATGTCAATACCGCAAGCATTTTTGTATGTCAGAAAAAAACATTTAAATAACATTTAGACTACACAAAGTTAGACTTGTTTTAAAAATAGATGTCAATGTTTAAACGTCTATTCGATATTTTTAACCACACAAATACTCGCTGGGACCTTCCTAGCAATAAATCTGCTAGCTCATATTGAAGCTGAGCTTTCCCAACTTCAGCTCAGACCATCTAGCATCCAAAATGACCTGCGCCCGAGGTTTACACATCATTTACACCTCTAAAGGCTGAATAATCTTTAAAAGGAGCAGAAGCCAATAAAACAATGAGTGAAATGTGGAATCGTCTGCTAACATTAATCAGCGAGGTGACGGCTGCTATTGGGAGTCACAGTGATTACTGCAACACCTGAAGCGTGGAAGACTAATGGCAGACGTATGACCCCGTGATCCACAGAAGACGACTCGTCAAACAAATCTGACACACACCAACATCATTTACCCATCTCAGAAGCGTCCCTCTGGGTGTACAGCCATCCAGTGTGACAGAGTAATTGTAGGATCATTACCGCTTCATGCTAACAGCCCTCCGGTTTCATAACACAATGCATATGTACGCGAATAACAGCAAACTTCGGCATCTGAAATGATCATTAGAAAAACAAGCAGCAATTGCTTTTGACAGCTAATCATTAGCTATAGTCCCACAGTTCAATACGAGTGGTATTAAGGATTTGCTGCAGTGTTCCCTAAATATAAAACATGCCAGTGTATGATTAATTATATGATTATTTTTACTAAACTTTCTTTCCAAGTGAGTGTATAGGGACAGAGTGTATTCAAAGGGCATACTACAACGTCATCAAGATGGCGCCAAGCATGTCCGCTATGTTGTGAGCACCTAGCTAACTTTGTTGTGTTTTGTGTGTTTTACTTGTATTTTTGTCGTTTTTCGTGCTGGATGTACACACTCTCATTACCTACGACAGACACACACTTCAGGAAATTGCTCGTTGTACATCGAAGACCGGACTTTGAGTTCTTTTACGGCGCTCTGTTTACAAACACAGCAACAGAGCCCTTTGTCTGGGTCACACAACCGAAGCGACAAGGGAAACACAGCCGGAAAAGAGGAAAGAGAGTCGCCGTTAGTCAGACTATGACACCTTGAATTTCGACCTCCGCTCCCCACCGTTCTGCTGGCTAACGTTCAGTCACTGGACAACAAACTTTCCGAGCTTCGGGCTTTCTAAGCTTTTCACTCATCATAGCACACATGCTGCTGATGATGTGACAATAAAAGTGATTTGATTTGATACTTTAATACATCCAATCTGTCATTCAGCAGCTGAAAAAATGAGAAAAAATGTAACTCTTTGGCTTATGTAAAAAGTGAAACACTATTTAAACAATCTAGGCGCAAAGTCTAAAGCGCATGGCGCCAAAAGCATTAAGAGCATGTGTCCGAATCCACTTTTGCTATTTTAAGGATGGAGAAATATCGTTTGCACCCTGGCGCATGGTCCAAGAGGATTGTGCTTAATCTAATAATGAGTTCTGGGTGTGTTTTGAGCATAACATGCATTAACCCTTTCATGCTCAAATTAAATTTTAGAAACAGGCAAAATCTATGCTTTTAACTGTTGCAAATCAGCAACACCTGCCTTGAGAGGGTTAAACCAATCAGAGTGTCATCTCACATTCACTTTAAGAGTCAGTTGCGTCGTGCCATGGCTCATTTGCTATTCACATGGCAGACTTTGTAAAAACTGAACGCCTCACTAGCGAGAAAACAGTTAAACAGAGCATCTGCAGCGCAAGAATAAAGAACGAGCCTCCTCCATTCGGCCTACTTTACTTTACTTTTACTCTTTACTCTTTTGCTTTTGTGGAGTAAGGAAACTGTGTTGACGGGCATCCATTAGCCTAAATTAGCCTAAATATTTAATTTAGTTTGTTAAGCACCAAGATCTGTTTCAAAACTATTTCTAAATTTAGTTCTAATTTACAGTAAATGAATAAATGAACAATAATAATGAAGTGTGATCTAAAAACTGAGTTATATCCAAACATTCGCTAAACCAATTTGTTCAAAAGCACAGAATCATAAAGAAACAAAACAATGTGAGTCACTGAAACTTTCACTTAACCAGTTTGTACAAAAAACACTGATTCAGTCAGGAAGAAAACAATGTAAGTGAGTCTCTGAATCATTCACTTTACCAATTTGTTCAAAAACACTGATTCAGTCAGGAAAAAAACAATGTAAGAGAGTCACTGGATCATTCACTTTATCAATTTGTTTAAATAGACTGATTCATTATGAAACAAAACAATGTAAGTGAGTCACTGAAACGTTCAATGAACAATTGTGTTCAAAAACACTGATTCATTAAGAAACAAAACAATATACAGTAAGAAAGTCACTGAATCATTCATCCAACCAGTTTGTTCAAAGACACAGATTCACTCAGAAACAAAATAATAAAAGTGATTCACTCAATCATTCAATCAACCAGTTTGTTCAAAACCCCTGATTCAATCAGAAACAAAACAATGTGAGTCACTGAATCATTCACTTTGCCAATTTGTTCAAATAAACTGATTCATCAAGAAACAAAACAGTATAAGTGAGTGTCTGAATCATTCAATCAACCAGTTTGTCAAAAGACACAGATTCAGCCAGAAACAAAACAATAAAAGTGAATCACTGAATCATTCACCCAACCAATTTGTTCAGACACAGATTCAAAAAGAACCAAAACAATAAAAGTAATCCACTGAATCATTTAATCAACCAGTTTGTTCAAAACCCCTGATTCAATCAGAAACAAAACATGTGAGTCACTGAATCATTCACGTTACCAATTTGTTCAAATAAACTGATTCATTATGAAACAAAACAAAATAAGTGAGTCTCTGAATCATTCAATCAACCAGTTTGTCCAAGTGAGTCTCTGAATCATTCAATCAACCAGTTTGTCCAAAGACACAGATTCAATCCGAAACAAAACAATAAAAGTGATTCACTGAATCATTCACCCAACCAATTTTACAGACACAGATTCAATGAGAAACAAAATGTAAGTGAGTCACTGAATCATTCACTCAACCAGTTTGTTCAATAACACCGTAAGTGCACATTTAAATATAAAAATACACTAATAGACAGATAAAAAATACTAATCGAGAGTGTTTGTCTAAATAAAGCTGTTGTGGATTTGTGCTGAAAGAAAACTTGCTTTCGGTACTGATGGACGGTGGTTTGGTTGAAGAGCACATAAAGAACTTCTTGAGGCGTGCAGCAACTCCACGTCTGCTGCCGTTCTGAAGGCAAGCGTCTCCTATAGAGATACAGCAGGAGTTTCACATGATGTATATATCGGCGGAGACATGCTGGCATGAGCTTATGAAAACGCAGCAGGCATGAATGTGTTCGTGCAGGTCCAGGATCAGGCTGTTAGAATGGATTGATGACTTATGCTTGTATTTTAAAACGCTGAACGAAGGAAGTTTTTCCGCCCCCCAAACCTCCAGCTAACATCACATAAAATCTGTCTGCATGTTTAGATTTGTTTAATAAGCCAGTTTCCTCATGTGGGTACTCTTTATTTTTAGGGTTTATAGTCTTTGTGGAGACATTTAGGCCCTGCAGTGTTGGCAAAACCTGCCCAGTTCACTGACCTTAAATATGCCTACAACTAAAATCACTTATTAGTGCGATAAAAACAATTCAAAGGGTTTCTCAAGGTCCACTAATCAATTAGTCAGTATATTTTACAAGGCATGTTTTCTCATTAAGGAGTAAATGTGCTTATTTCTGCAGTCCGGATAATGAGTGTGTCCTGGATTGACTCAGGTCATCTCAAGGGGTGTATATATATACACACATGAGCTCAATAAAAAAAACCCATCTTCATTGAAGGCTGTGCTTAATCTGTGCTGACTCTTTTGTGAGGCGGTTTACGTTCTTTGTTTATTTGCCAGATCTCATTCACCAGCACTGAGACGTCATTAAATAAACGAAGATCAATAAAAGGTAAATCATATCATTTGTTTTATTTTATTCATTTAGTGCGCTGTAATAAGCCATTAGTCACTTTACTTTAAAAGAAAGGGCAGACCTGTTGCCTTTAAAGCAACAAGTTGACCCTACTTAAAAAGGGTTTGTTTTTAAAGTACTCTTTATAATCACGCTCGTATTTCATTCGCTTAATAATTTTAGATTTTTTATTAAGGCAACTGGTTAACTTAACTGATTAAAGTAAAGTCAACTAATCACTTTTTAAAGTGTGAACGCAAGTAAATGTTTTTGATATTGTGATGTTTTCATTACAATAAATGTTTTGACTTTAGTAGATTTGTGTTAATTTCTTCTGATTTTTTTAAATAAAATAAAATAATTTTAGTTTTTAATTATGTTATTTATTATTATTAATTAATTAATTAATTTGTAATAATTTGGTTGTAATAATAATTGTATTATAGTAATAATATTTCTAATTTTAATAATAACAAAATACCAACAATAACTCTTGTAATAATAATAATAATAATAATAATAATAATAATAATAATAATAATAATAATAATAATACTTATTATTTATTATAATGTTATTATTATAACTATTATTATTATTATTATTGTTGTTGT